TGGATTATACTCGAGTAGGGTAGATGGTCCCACAGATTTATATTGAACATAGCAAAGCAATATGTTTAAGCCCACCGACCTAGAAAGATAACTGCAAGGACGGAGTGCCACAGTTCGGTAATGCTACGAAGGTACAGCGCCTAAGTTTTGAATATTTTGCTAGCAGGGGGTATTCCACTAGCAGGGATTAAAGTGATGAATGGGGAAAGGTCGCTTAGGACTACAGTAGTGTGGAACACAACACGATTTTCATGATCTGCGGCAATCCTATTGCCTGATACTGACACTCTCTTCTACTCCCTTCAGATATCCAAGTTTACAACCGCTTTAATGGATCAAATATTTCCAACTCCTCTGCCGACTATGCCCCCTGGTCCTCCGATCCTTTAGACTTCCAGTCCCCTACAGCCATAAATCACCCGCAAACTTGAAGTAAGGTAAGTGAGAAATGCCCAGAACATGAAAACTCTTCGTCTCATAAACAACCTCAAGGATGACCATCTAACTAAAAAATAGTAATGACAGGATATATATAAAAAACAACAACCACATCCTCCTGTCCTTCCACAGTACTTCTGTGTATACAGGGTCCTCCCAGGTACGTCCCCCTGTGCTTTTAGAAATATGATAACTAATAAAGGAAAGACAAACTTCAGCATTGGATAGCCTCTAACTATCGTTCTCCCATCTCCCCCACTTACCAGCTTCCCCAGTCTCCATCTCTCCCGGTCTCCAGCTTACCCATATTCCCCGGTCTCCAGCTTCTCCCATCCACATCTCCCCCTGTCTCCAGCTTCCCCCATCCACATCTCCCCCAGTCACCAGCTTCTCCACCTTTCCTGGTTGCCAGCTTCCCCATGTTCCTCGGTTACCAGCTTCCCTGGTCTTTAGCTTCCCCAGTCTCCAGCTTCCCCGGTCCACAGCTTCCCCAGTCCATAGCTTCCGCGGTTCCTAGCTTCCCCAGTCTCCATCGTCCCCAGTTGCCAGCTTCCACAGTGCACAGCTTTCCAGCTTCCCTTATCTACGACTCTCCAGCTCTCCCTGCTCCCATCCTCTCCGACCCACAGCTCCCAATCCTCCCTGGCCCACAGCTCCCAACCCTCCTCGGTCAAAAGCTCCCACTCCTCTCCAGTCCCCTGCTCTCCCGGCTCTTCACCTTTCCTACTCTATAGCTACTGTGATCTCTCACTCTGTGTCCTCAAGATGAGAGTGGTGTTTGGCCATAGCTGTGTTGGGAATGGGATGAAGGAAACCCCGGGAGTGTTTAATACTTGGTGAAAAGGCCGTTGGCATCAATAACGGCCTGACATCTAGCAGGCATACTTTCAATAAGCTCTAGGAACTCGTGCTCTCCCACATTATTCCATGCGGTCTTGACAGCTACTCTCAATCTGTCATACGACATAGTCTCTGGATAGTTATCTTGGAGATAATTCTTCATGGTATGCCATACTTTTTCGATAGGGTTTAAGTCAGGTGAGAATGCCGGCCAGAAAATAACCTCGATTCCTCTCTCTCTTAACTCCTGAGAGGTATTGCCTGCTGAATGTCCCGGTGCCCCATCCTGCATGAGTCTCAAATCTATCCCATCTTGATGACAGAGCTCAATGTACCGATGAATAACAGGTACTGTATGTGCGCAGTAGGTTTCTGAATTGATCGGACCCCAATCCTTTTCCCAAAATATTCCGGGACCTTGTGTACTACCATGAAAACATCCCCAGAACATCCATCCTTTCTTTCTCTGATGTCTTTCAACAATACAAGTAGGGTCCCACTCTTCTCCTGCTCTCCGTGTAACCCAAGTGCATGTATGCCTTCCACCCGTAATCCATGTTTCGTCGGTCCACAGTATGGAATTCCACTCTGCCTGTATCCAGTGAAGATGCTCCTGAGCCCAGTTGAGTCTTATTACACGGTTTCGTTCAGAGATTGGTGGTTTTCTCATCGCCAGCCGTCGGTGAAACCCCTCCTTAATGAGTGCTGCCCGTATTGCTTTCTTTCCTACCCCCAAATCCAACTCCTCAGCCAATTGTTGAAAAGAAAGCCGTCTATTCCTGGCTGACATACACACATATCCGATAAGGTCTTCAATCTGTGCTTGGGTAAGAGTAGGAGGGCAACCTGGTTTCTTGGTTGGTGTTGGTGGCGATGTGCATGCATACTGAATCTGGTGTTGGGAAAAGCCTGTTTTTTCCTGAATTTGCTTATACCTCCAGCCTATTGAGCGTAGGAGCTGGCAGTCACGTCTTTGGTCCCGGGTCAAGTGCGGCATATTGGTTGATAATTAATTGTGAAGTATCATACAAAAAAAATTACTCTCGTGAAAAACCTTTCATCCCCCATTCCAAGACTTCAACCCACCCTCCTTCTACTTACAGTTTACCACTATAATCCCTGCCCGCATAACACCCCTGCTAGCAGAATATTCAAAACTTAGGGGCTGTACCTTCGTACATCTACCGGTTGGATATGGGAAAGTAATATAAACATGCAATGACAGGCTTTATACCCGAGGTAAATCCCTTCACAGCTGTAATCGGTCTTGTATTAGCAGTTAAGCTTTCTCTCGCTTTCATCTCCAACAAACACCACGTTAAGGACTGCCACATTTGCATGGCGGTATTGTTGCCTGCGCGACCGCAAGGGTACAGTACTGTATTAGTAATCATTTCTCAGTGACACACGATCCCAGATTCAGGAATACGGTATTCTGGGGGGAAGTTATCTTACCCTACGAACAGACAGTTAGCGACCTCCTTAAAAAAGGTTTGTCTGTGCAAGCGCAGCTTTGCTTCCAATCTGGGCCGGGGATATCTTTGATGCATTGCACCTGTGGAAAAGCTTGTTAATATCGGGTCATCTGTAATACCCTTGTTCGGGTTTCTGATAAATGTGCACAGTACTCGATCGAGTACTCGGAGCTAGAGTACCGTATCCCCAAGGATCTTTCAAGCACAGATTCTCTAACGCTACTTTCCCACTTTCTTGCGTAGTCACAATCGAGAAAGCATTCCGGACATTCCCCGAAATGTGCATTTACCATTGTTGCGCTTAGGTTGAGAAGTAAAACAACTGCTGTGAGAGTAGTTCCCAAGGAGGATGGAGATGCGTCCAAAGACGCAAGAAAAGGGCGCGGGGATGGGGCCATCCCGCTCCCAGCGACCACGACATCAGTTTCTTCGCGATTAAAAAGGGACTGGGGCGGCGGCGATTGACCAAAGGAAGTGGCGGAAGAAGCCGAGTGAAAATGGCAACCGTGCTAGAGCGAAATCGACCGAGTGGAATCAAGCTGTCCTTTTATCAACGCCCCCCCCCGCGCTGCCTCACTGCCTCACACGCCTCGTACGAAGCATACAAGAGGCATTCAGCCCCAGGACCGAAAGAGCGTTTTTCGGGTGCCAAGTTTCCAGATTTGTATGCGAAAAAGGCGTTACACGCACCCAAGTTTTTCAACCCCGGGGGCTGAATGCCTCTAGACTACCGTATTGTGAGCGCAGGCTGACACAACCAATTAAATGGGATATCAATTGTCTGAACCTGCACGAGACTACTGGTAGATCCAGTGGTACAGAGCTCAACAAGCGCAGTATATATGCATATCTGAATTGACGGGATACCGGTAACTCGCCCATCTTGTGCCAGTATCTTCTTCCTGAGCGAGGCTGCAGGCCTCACCTCCTCCTTGCTGTTAGGGATCAAAGCCAGGCCGTTGCGATAGTAAGGGCAAATTTTACTTCCTTGACCGTACTGCGCAAGTCTCATAACGAGACTGGAAGACAGTTAGACTATCATGGGGGAGGAAGCATCGGGACAGAAGTAGTTTGGATAGGCGCTTTGTTTCTTCAAGCGCTTCCATCAGTGCCCGAGTGGAGTACTGTAGACTCCCTGTATGCGATACCGGTATCGTGCGCTTAGGATGATGGGCATCGTAGAGTAAGGCGCACCTAGTATTCTTTTTACGCATATATGCAGACCACACGAAGTGATCCCCTCGAGGGGTTCCCGGTTAGATCCGAAGTGCTGAGCGTTCGCACTCTAGTCCCAAGGATTTCGCTCCCACAAGACGACACTTGAGGGAAAATAGGCTAGATGGTATCGAGATCTAACAAAAGTTCCTGTCGGGATTTTTCTTTTGCACCCAGCCATTCAATCATTTTACGGCTATTTCACAGATTTCGACATGCTAATAGTGGGGCTCTTAGAGATTATGGTATAGTACTGGTACCGCACTCGAGTCACGGTAGCATCGAGGAAAAAGAAATTAACCATCTCAAATGGAGATTGACGCTATCATTGTTTGGGACCGATAGAAGCCTCAACGTCAGACACTTTTAGATAGAAAGGGGGGGAGCCCTAGAGGATGCTACCGGTAGCAGCTAGATTCAAATGGCTTGTAGTCGAATACAAGGACGAGGACCTAGTGAAGACTCCCACATCTATTCTCGGGACCGCATAGCAGGTATGATATGTCAATAACACTACGAGTACAAGGGCAGAAGCAATCAAATTCCTGAGACCCATGTCGTGGGGTGTGGCTTTTCCTCTTCATTTTTTCGAGGGAAGACGGGAATGTGGCTCGTGATTGATGGCCACCTATGCGAAAAGGTTAGCCCGCCTACCCTACCATACCATACTATACCTGTAGTGCTATATTCTGTCGAGCAAGGTACTCGAGTATATTAGGAACCGTCTCTTCCAATAGACCATTTACATAGCGCGCCTGGTTGACGGTTCTGCTTGCAAGGCCCTTGATAATCGCATATTGAAACAAGGCTACTGAAATCGCACGAATGATGGGTTATCGTCAAGATATTGGATAGGGCAGCTGTGTATTATTTTTCTTTTATTTCAAACTGGCCCGCCAAAGGCGTCCCGATTCGACAAGGTCGTATAGTTTTTCCTACTCCTAATGACTGGTCGTTGCTGCTGCTGTAATAGCAACCAACTTTCTTCGCTGCTTCGACATCGCTATACAACATTGTTTCCTCCATCATCTCTCCTCCTTTCCCACAATAAACCGGCTAATCTTCTCCCTTGGTTCTTTCACTCCTCCCTCTCTACCCCTTCACATAGCTGTTTCTTTGGGGGGGCTTTCGAGTAGCGGCTCAACCTGTGTTTTTCGGTACATACCGGTACAGGGGAGCTGGGTTTTGAACTCCGGTAGGGCAGCTGCACCTCGAACACCTTTCTTCTCACAACAACTGCAGAGAGTAAAAATCTCTTATACACCAACCTGCTGGCATCAGTCTCTTTTAAAAGGGATTTCATCTAACATTTCCACTTTGAACCGTGGGCTCTGGGCGAGGTATATTCCGTGGAATATTTTCGCCGGGGGAACGGGGGCTGGACACAAGCTGCGCGCATCGCCATTAATCGTGTGCGCTATTCTTCCTCCCTCCCTCTCCGTCCCTCTCCCTCTTCCCACGACACTCAACGCCCCATAATCACAGATCGCAACAACCTATAGTGGTCACTTGAATTACTTCCGCTCTACCGGTATTCTTCCCCTATAACTTGATTGCTCTTGTTGATTCCATTTTACTTCGTGAGAAACACCGCCTTTGCCTTATTTTTTTTTACCTGACCCCCAACGATTGGTTGAGTGTCATCACGCCTATTTCCTTCCCCCATTCCCACTTGCCTCCCTTCCTTCCTTTCTCTTTTTGATCAAATCACATCGCGAACCGACCCCCTCTGAAGATTTAACCCAAACCGGCAAGGGTGGTAAAATATTAGTTTTACAGTTCCTGCGGTGTTTATCGGTTTTCACCTGCTTCTGTAGAGAGACATACCCTAACTAATCCCGCATAGAGAACTTTGGCCCAGACATTGGGGACTTTTTCTTTGCAGCTGTCCATCGCATCACACCCTGGGTGCACAACGCTAACGACAATCGTCGCTTCTGAGATAATCCTGTAAGTTCATCTTCACCCAACACCGTTTCTTGCACCCCCCGCTCTTTGCAAATAACTTTTTCACACATATACTTTTACTATACCCCCCCCCCCCCACTTTGACGTTCCCCATATTTTATCCACCCATGATCGCTTGCTTGCCCATGGTACCCCTTTACTTACCTTTCACGTCTCATATCATATTATTATGCATTTTCCCTGGTTTTCGATACCTTTCTAACTCTTCCACACATAACTAGCTTAAGGTATCACGGCCCCTATATTATCTGTAAATATCTCTTGTTTGTTTTTCTTGGCCGAAAAAAATATTATAATGAGCCGAGCGAAGCAGCGAGGTAGCCAACGTGGCCCGCGCCCCAGGGTTGGTCGTCCTCGTGGTAGGGGAAGGAAAAGCACCGATCAAGGGAGTATCGCCAACGGTTCAATAACTCCAACACCCCCTCCTCAAGAAGGAGAGTCTATGGAAGCTGAAGAGGCGGAACCGGAACACATTGTTCCGACCCCGGCCCCTAGAACTTCAGCGCGACAACCAACAATGCCCTTGCAAGCTACGCTCCGGCGGCGAAAGGGAGCTCAAGATATCTGCATAAGTAGTAAGGCTTCAAAGGAGAGCCCAGTGCATATCGAAGCTCCAAATAATCCGGTAGCGGAGGTGCCAGGAAATCAGGAGCGCCTTGATGATGGCGGAGGTGAAGGCGTTAGCAGGGCCGATAATGATGAATTGGGAGGCGGCGCTGGGGGGGACGGAGGGGGCCGCGATGGGGGCGAGGGTGAAGGTAGGGGTGTAGAGGTGGATGAAGGTGAAGTGAAGGATGAACAAGGGGAGGATGAAGGGCCTAATATCGAAGAGCGACCGCTTAAGAGGAGACGCACCAAGCCGGATATAACCCAGGACGGTCTAGTAGGCACCTCTACTAATACAGATAAATCACCACCCTCTAGCACGAAGACTGGAAGAGCTAGATCACGGAGCAGAGCTCCTGTGACAAAAAGCAGGGGAGGTGTAGAGGGAGTAAGAGGCAGAGGACGGCCCGGGCGGGGAAAGGGCAGTCGCCAGACCGGAGGTCCAGGTTCTCGGGGGGGGAAAGGCGCATATCGGCCTCGGAAGCCAAAAATCGCGCCTCCCAATGGAGAAAACGCTGTTAAGACGGTTACTGCTGCTGCCCCTGCAGTAGAGCCCAAGACGGCGCGGGTTACTAGTGATGTAACAAAATACGACTGGACTTCGGAATTGCGAAAGGATGTATCGATTGTGCGTCCGACTAGAGATCTTACGCTCGCACAATTGAGTGTAACAGTTACCGAAAAATCAGCTTCTCTTGAACAACTGAAGGAACGTCAGTACGCTCTGAGAGAAACCGCCAAGACTTATGCTAGGACTATGGTGAATTTAAATCGCGAGCGTGCAAGCCAGGCCCTGAAAGACCTAAAAAGCGATAAAGATTACTTCTTTAAGACGCCCTTTTACCAGCAAATCCAGGAACGGTTAGAAAAGAAGGTAGATGATCGCATCTCCGTGCTGGAACGAACACTCGATTTTAAAAAAGAGAATGCATCAAAAGTATTGAAGGCTGAGGAGTGGGCTGCCAGAGAAGCATTTGAGGTCGGTATAATTTCCTTGGAAACCCCTTTATAATATATAGAGGCTAACAAATTCATTTCCCATAAAGACGAATTTTGTTGAGTTGTGTGAGCATACAATCCAAAGATTTTTACGGGAAGGGCACGAGCTTTCAGAGTTATGGGCCGTAAAGGACCCGTATCTGAACGAACATGTGCTGCGGAGGTGTAAACTTGACCATATTGATGAGGTTACAATGACAGACCTCATCGAAAACTTCATTACACGTGAAGGCCGAAACCGCTCAATTTTAGACCAACCGCAGATTGTCACTCGGTCCAATCAGGGATTGTATGATCGAAAGGTTCTCGAGACCACGGCTGAGCGATATAGGAGAGCATTTAGCGCTATTGTCTTAAGCGAACTTAAGGGGGTGGAGGCGCCCCCAGTGTCGCCGCCGCCCGTGGGACCCCCGGAAATCACCCAGTGGGGGGTTTCTGTAAGCAATGATGAGAGCACCGCAGGAGATAACAGTCCTTCCGGCACTGAGGCAGCTCTGCCTGACAACGAAGAAAACTCGGATGGACCGACTCGGACCAGTGGTCTCCAATTTGTGTTGGATTGTAAGATCCTACTGTCTCTTGTTTGCTTTTATCCGTACTTTCTTTAGCTTTAACTGACATGCATGATGCCAGCCCGATTTAGCAAAAGCGACCCTGCGCAATTCCCCCGCCCGAGGAAGGTCACGACACGCGAAGGATGGGCTGTGGAAGCACTGGTTCAATTCCGCGATGGAGTAACTGAACTTTCCCTAGAGGACGAACCCTCTGTCGATGACATCGAGTGTACCAGTCAAAAAGACCTATCGGATATCGGGGATGAGCCAGAACCGGGACCGCCAGTCAAGATATCACCGAGAAGAAGCCTTTTCTCCCTCCATGCTGGTGGGATATGCTCTGAGCTAGGACCAAAAACAGGCATTTTACAAACTAAGACACTCCCCCCCAAGAACTCCATGGAAGCTAGCCCTACTCCGTACGGGTCCGATGCTAGATCTCCGGCTCCACTATCAGCAGCTGTTAGACATTCTGGCTTTGAGGCGCCGGGAAAGGCTGTTCGCAATCCTCCACCGCCTGCGGCAATTAGTCCGGCTGGCGAGCCCCAAGTGGTTCAGAACGGCTTCCTTGTCGATGGCCAAACTTGTGACTCACATGGTTAGTCTATCCCACCCACATCCGATCCTAATCCCTCTCCTAGCGTAAATAATGAAAACTTCCCCAAACCTAATATCTATGTTACCCCGACACGGCGATATGAGGAAGGCTGACGTAATTGGGATTCCCTTTCCCGCATGGTGATTTAAAGACAAAACGGGCAGCACTCTGGCACCAGCTGATAGGCACATTAAGGCCTCAACGCCGAGTAAACATCCCGCATCAACAAAACGATTGCGAGATGGTACGAGGAAGGAGAATCCAGACCCGCTATACGGCACCGATAACCCCCAGGATGCTACCAACAGCCTCCCGGCACCCTCTAAGCCTGCTCTAACAGAGGGACCCAAGCTAATGGCCGAAGCTGAAATCTCTAGTGGGCATGTGAATCCGCTGAGGGAGTCTTCAGCATCGGATGGTGGACCTTCTATTGCGAATATCTCACCACCCAACGGGGATTCAAGTGGAGACCGGCCTAATGGAGCTGGCAGAAAATCGCATACTTCCTCTGCGACGGGTAAAGCTGATGGTCGAAGACTTCCCAATTCCCCACTCTCGAAAACCATCCGTAGACAGGATGTCACGGCTAATGAAGAGGCATGTCACAACCCATTTGGCTACAAACTAAACCATACTAACTTTTCGCAGAAGAGGCGGGATACTGTTAATACCAACCACCTCAAAGTCGACCCCCCAGCTAAGCACACTAGCGATAAATTTGGAACAAGGCCGCCTCCAGGTTTGACTGAGGACCCCCAACTGGGGGTTAAGTCTCCCACAGCTCCTAAATCATACAAAGGGGCTCATCCAGATTCGAATGCGGCTGTAGTCAGCTCACCTATCTCTCCTAGAGCCTCACGGAACATCAATAATCCACCGCAGGCTGGCTGGCTGGGTAAAGGGGTGCAAAGGGACGTTTTTCACAATATCCCACAAGATCACCATTTATTCCCACCTGCCGCAATTTCCGCAGCACGTAGTCAGCAAAAGGCGGCCGAAAATAGTGCTAGAGCAGCTGCCAATAGCTTGGGTTCTTCAGGGTATCCTCATATAGTACCGAGGCCCCCTCCCTCAAAGATCGCACCAATGAATTACCCAAACTACGGCCCTTCCAACGGTGGCTCATCGGTTAACATTCCGAACTTCATCCCACGCTCACCTTATCCGGTCAACAGAGGCGCCGCAGTTCTACAGCCACCTGAATATGCCGCTCCAAACTCTTCAGTTGCCCGGGGTGCTCGACCACCTCAGCCTTCCCAGCCTTCTCACCCTCCTCCTTGGACTGACGTGGGATACACGTATCCCGGCCCCCAGCCGCCTTCGGCACAGCTCCAACCACCTGTGAGCAATAGCCATGATAGGGCCCCGGCGCCGCCTTCTGACAGCAGGACCCATATCATTAACAGACCACTTCCCCGGCAACCGGCTGCATCTTCCACGGATTACCGGAGCTACGTAAATAATGGCTACCCGGGCCCCAGCAACAACGGATCTCACACGCCGCAGCAGGGCCATCAGTCGTATGTTCCCCAGTACAGCGGGGGGGCCAGACAAGATTCGAGCCATAATAGGCACCCCTACGGTAGCCTACCATGGGCCTCTCCCGTAACTCCAATGCCTATATTGAGCGGTGACACCTCCCACACTCATTCTGCCTCGCGGGCTCTTCGGTCACACGATAACCTTTACTCTCGCTCTACCTCCAGTGCTTCGGCGGAGGGCAAAACATCCAGTTTCAGTACCCCCCAACCGATCAGATATTATATTGGCGATGGTGTTTACAAGACGGCGCCTGCCCCTATTGACAAACCACCGATGCCACACCGGCCGCACGATACTGTTTTTGAAGAGGATGTCTATTCGAAGGACCTCAACCTGATGGCTAGGAACGGAACTTGGAAAGGCCAGCAACAGCATCTGCCACATATGCCTACTGAAGATGTTCGAAGGGGAGGCAATGGGGGTAATTAATTGGGTTTGTGCTCTTGGCAGGTTTGTCTGGCTCGAGCTCCCTCAATGAAAACCGATAACCTCATATTTTACCCTATTTTCCAGAATTACCCTCTTGGTGGAGTTGGATATTTGTTATTTTTTTGAGGGTTGCTCATCTTTGGTTCCTACTGCATTTCCCCCCTACTCCCTTTCCCCATTTACCCGTCATCGCTATTCACACCTCTTGTATTTTTTGGTTGGAGCTTTGCCCTCTCTCTTTTTCTCGATATTGGGCGCCTTTCGCCTCACTTTGCTTATTTTGAAACCGACACTATTGTATGATGCTCCCCAAATGGTTTTTTCTAACAAGGGGGGAAAAATAGGGAAACGAAGAGGGAAAAAAAGGAAAACGGTTTCGATATTTGGTTTTTTTTCCATAGGCGTTTCTCATAGATGTTTGCTTTTTGGGGGGTCTTGGGTCTTCTTCCTTCTACACTAGTTGATAAGTGTGTCAATCACGATAGGGTAGCGAGCAGTGTTTTTCATTCAGATTAAGCACGGTATCTCTGAGGAAGGCGATGGCGCTCGTTACCCTATGGTGCTCAGCATCCTATCAGCTAACCTACCTTCTGTCTCTTTCTTTGTGGTGTAATGTACGTATAGTTAGTGCAATTGTTATGAACTGGAGTGTCAGCTATACTCTTACAGTATGGCATGTCTTGTGTGGGTGAAGTGATGGTCGGCGAACTCTACCACCGAGCAGTGCGGATAAAAGCGAGGAGGCGCGGAGTAAGCGGTACGACACCGACAAGTGTGATAATAATATTATGATATTATCATATAATAAAGATTATTATGGTTAGGTTAGGCCAGTGGTTATGCTGTAACCAAGTGGTTGTATACAGAGAATACCCTTAAACAATCGAAGGTTGGGTAGAGTCAAGTTACCGTAGGTATGGAGGGAAGAAGGCTGGAGCTTGGTGATGAGCGATTGGTAATGATGTAGTGTACCCGGCACCCTCCAGAGAAAGGAAGTGGAGAGCATGAACAATAACATCGCGACGACACCAGGGCATCGGTACTCGAGTACTCGAATAGAGACGAACGAAACCACCAGCCAATACTCGCACTTTACGAGCACAGCACAGTACTCGTACTTTCCCCATTGTATTAGAACAACGGTAGGCCTAAAACCCGACACGACCGCACAACCACATATCATACTCACCGTCTTGGCATGCCGAGAACAATCTCGCAGCCACCAATCGCACACGATCCCGGCTCGCCAGGACACGGAAAACCCAGTCCGAGCCCCTGACGGGTATATTAACTACGGTACGCAGAACCGCTGCGCTATCGTAGCGGGGGGATCGCCGAAGTGGCCTTGCTCGCTGACCGATTTTTGGTACGATATCCGGATTGCCACGGGCAGGCAGGAGCGAACGAACGAACGAACGAACGAACGAACGGGCGCAAGGTTGAACTGGAGAAGGGGAAAGGAAGATATCTGTACTATACAAGCGGTGGGGAGAGTAGGGGGTGGATGAGCATGGGATTTTGATTTTTGTCGGATGTCGTCATCCAGCCTACCGTAGGTTGTGTCCAAGAGATGTCTATGTTGTAGTGTGGTGTCTCTGAAAGAGTTTTTTATGTATTTAAGAGACATGTTTATCCCGCTTGGGGAAAGTAAGCCGCTTGAAGATAAAATTTTCTGCATACTTTTGTCTTCCGCTTGTCCCGGTTATTACGACTGAATTTTTCTTCACTGGGTTCGAGTGATTGCGCGTGGCGCGTGAGGGGTTTGGTCGAGAAGCTATCGTGCTATCGTAGTTGTCGAGCTGGCGGAGTCTATGCTCCGGTGGATTGTACCGGTGTATTGAATGGCTGAGATTTACGCTCATGGGAAGGATGGGAGTAAATCCGTTCTTGACAATTTCGCCGCTGGGTATCAGCTGGAGTATGGTTCGTGATTTTCTGAGGTTTCGCGGTCTAAATGATGTCGCCGAATCGATGATATGGTTCCTGGGGCAGGTTGGGGGTTGGGTTAAATGTTATACTATAATAGATATGGATCGTATGAAGAACCCCGGAAGATATGTTTGAGAGCAAGTACTACCTATGGTCGCACTTAGTGCCCAGGCCGACCCAGCTCTCGCAACCACGGACGAACTGAAATCATCGGTAGCCTTGGTGAATCCTATTCGAGCATAGATTGAAGCTTTTGGGCATTGGTACTTTCGGAATATGAGACTTAAAAGCAATTGGGTCCTGTATAGAAATTGTAGTGTAAGACAGTGCTCCACCAAGAGGCACGAGAAGCACAGTTAGTTCATGCATTCGTAGAGACAGTTTTCGTGTGGATCAGACCCCAGAGGAACAGAGCTTGCTGGGAAGTTAAAAGATGACAATAGCAGAAGAACATGTGAGGGAAGGGGGTTTGCGGTCTCATCGAAAACATTCTCCAGAAGTGAAATTGCCAGAGGGAGGGAGTCTATTAGTGGTCGGAAATACTCGAGATAAACTTCGTCGGGGTCAGACAGAGTGTGATACGAGTGATCATGCGTGAATACCCGGCTTCCCAACACATCCTCCCTTTGGGGAGGGGCCAACTTGAGTCCGACCTCAAACTGTCTAACCCACCGCACGCCAGGCAGTACCCCCAGTGGGGTATCTAAAGGCTGCGCCTCAGCGAAACGTAGCGCTCGCATAGGTCGGTTCGGGACGGGCCAGATCTTAGACTCGATCCAACAGGCCTAAACTCCCGGCTAGCAGGTCGGGCATGATCCGGCTCAAGCTCTCATGGTCTCATGCACAATCGCTCACGTAAGGTGTGGAATTTTATGGTCCACCTGCTTTGCTAGGCGCAGATTTTTCCCCTCCTCCCCGGTTCCGTCAGGCAGGACCCAGGGCAAGCCAGACCCCATCGCGGATGGGGCTGTGTGGTTTGAGCCACCAAAGAGCGGTGAGATTGAGACTCTTTTTGGAATACTTGGCCATCCTTGTGCGCAGGGCAATGAGCCCCAGTGCTTAGCCACAGCCTTTCGGATCCCTTGAGTGATTAATTCAGTAGTAG